CCTCACATTTTTAGACCCCCTTGTGGAACATAGTCGGCAGTTTCTCTCCACGTAGTGGATGTCGCTTGCTCTGACCTGTTCTTTGGAACGGGGGATTCAGTTCTCTGGAAATCCCTTCATGTGAGAGATAATGTCTCTGAGAAATGAAAGGACCGGGCAAAGTTAGCCCTGCAAGAGTGTGAGATGTTTTCTGCTGAACTGCGTGGGCAGAGGGCTTGGGCACGCTACTGTACATCTGGCAGATAGATTTCTGTCAGCGGCTCTCTAGTGTCAGGCGGCCGCTGCCTTTGAGGAAGAGGATCAGATCTGTGGGTCCATGTTGTGTGCTGGCTGAACACCTAAGCGCACATAGCCAGCTCCTAAAATGGCTGCCCTTGAAGCTCGGCTCAGAGGAGGATCTGAGCAGCTCAGTCGCTGCCTGTTAGAGCCCCAGCTGACTAGATGAAAGCAGTTACACAATCTCACCCATTAACTTGGTGTGGCGCTGGGACTGACCGGCTGAAAAGACAGCCAACTCTAAGGCAGATGGCGGTTGTGTTGGAGGCTTTTTTTTTTCTTCTCCTCCCCGGGCATTCCTTCTCCCCTTCTCTCCGAAAGGATTCTCTTGATATCCATGTCAAGGAACCTGGCATTAGGAGGCAACTTTGTTCAAAACAGCAGTGAACTGCCAAGAGAGCAGGGTGGGGCCCCGTGGTGAGGCTGTAACCTGACCCTGGACAACAATGGATCCCCTGGTTGCTCAGGGACATACTGGCAGCTTGGCCGGCTCACATGGAGCTCTGCACTGGCTGGCCAGTTGGGTTTGGGAAGCAGGGCGGGATTCCCAACTGTCTCTGGCTGGATCTCACTTGAAATTTGCCGTATCCAGATCAGTAGACAGAATCTGATTTTGGTATTAAAACAATATTGTTTGATTGGTTATTCTAATTACAAGAAATGACACTGGAACTGTTAAATGTTTTATTGTTCACTTAAACCTTTTAAAACAACTAATTAAACTAATGGCTGAAGGGGGGGGGGGAGATTGGTCCAACTAACACAGGACTTTCAACCAGGAGAACTGTATTTGTGTCCCAAGGAGTTATTTTGGTGATGACGTGTTTTTTGTACTTTTGTAACGTGTATGTTTTAATCAGTTTACGTGCTCATTTGAAGCCCACCCAACCATGATGTTTTTCCTGAAGTTAGAACTTAGTGGGTTTTTGCCCGAACCTAAGAAAGTGTTTTTGTGGGATTTCACAATGTAAACCTTGTGTTTAATGTGACCGTATATCATAGTTTGACGTGTTGGGCTACCGAGTGCATTCGAAAGGGACACCAAGGGGTCTAACCAAGTACCAGTAAGTGCCAAGTTGGGATGAGAACATGTTGATATTACGTGCCAACAAATCTTCCATAACTTTGGAATTTTATGACGAATAGAGCAGCAGTACTCTCAAGTAATAAACCTCAAATACTGAGCTACAAGACATTATTGAGTTCGGGCACTACAAGGACAAATATTTAAATTTCTCCGCTCTTGTGCCTATGCCAGAACTGAAGACAATAAAAGAGAACTACACTGATTTAGCTTTGTCAGTTTAAAAAATAAAGTCCAAAATCGATGCAGCATAGATATCACCTTTTTATTTCACGCATTCCTCTTTCTTATCAAAACACGGCACCTACATCACCTGTGTGTGTGTGTGTGTGTGTGTGTGTGTGTGTGTG